GAATCTGTAAATAATTCTCTTTGAATCTGTAAATAAAATTCTACTTTGAATCTGTAAAATATAATTCTACTTTGAATGTAAATAAAATTCTACTTTGAATCTTAAATATAATTCTATTTTGAATCTGTAAATAAAATTCTACTTTTGAATCTGTAAATATAATTCTACTTTGAATCTGTAAAATAATCTACTTTGAATCTGTAAATAATTCTACTTGAATCTGTAAATAAATTCTACTTTGAATCGTAATATATTCTATTTTGAATCTGTAAATAAATTCTACTTTGAATCTGTAAATATAATTCTACTTTGAATCTGTAAATATAATTCTAAATTAAATATAATTCTACTTTGAATCTGTAAATATAATTCTACTTTGAATCTGTAAATAAAATTCTACTTTGAATCTGTAAATATAATTCTACTTTTGAATCGTAAATATGATTCTACTTTGAATCTGTAAATAAAATTCTACTTTGAATCTGTAAATATAATTCTACTTAATCTAAAAATTCTATTGAATCTGTAAATAAAATTCTACTTTGAATCTGTAAATATAATTCTATTTTGAATCTGTAAATATAATTCTACTTGAATCTAAAATTCTACTTTGAATCTGTAAATAAATTCTACTTTGAATCTGTAAATAATAATTCTATTTTGAATCTGTAAATAATAATTCTACTTTGAAATATAATTCTACTTTGAATCTGATAAATTCTACTTTGAATCTGTAAATATAATTCTATTTGAATCTGTAAAATAAAATTCTACTTTGAATCTGTAAATATAATTCTATTTGAAATCTGTAATAAAATTCTACTTTGAATCTGTAAATATAATTTCTATTTGAATCTGTAAATAAATTCTACTTTGAATCTGTAAATATAATTCTATTTTGAATCTGTAAATAAATTTTACTTTGAATCTGTAAATAAATCTCTAAATTCTGGTAAATAAAATTCTACTTTGAATCTGTAAATATAATCTAAATCTCTACTTTTGAATCTGTAAATATAATTCTATTTTGAATCTGTAAATAAAATTCTACTTTGAATCTGTAAATAATTCTATTTTGAATCTGAACTTTGAATCTGTAATGAATCTGTAAATATAATTCTACTTTGAATCTGTAAAAATAATTCTACTTTGAATCTGTAATATAATTCTACTTTGAATCTGTAAATTCTACTTTGAATCTGTAAATATAATTCTACTTTGAATCTGAATTCTACTTTGAATCTGTAAATATAATTCTACTTTGAATCCTACTTTGAATCTGTAAATAAAATTCTACTTTGAATCAGTAAATATGATTCTACTTTGAATCTGTAATCTACTTTAAATCTTTAAACGCGATTCTACTTTGAATCTGTAAACACTCTAAAAAAACTCTACTTTGATTCTATTTGATTTTTATTTGATTTGATTGTAAAAACTCTACTTTGATTTCCTTGCCAACACAACGTCTTCTTTGAATCTCTCGTCAACCTGATATTTTATTATTTATTTATAGATAGTTAATAATAAATAATTAATAATAAGTTACTTGATATTTTCTGAAATTTCCTGTAAAACCCAAAAGCTACTTTCATTTCCTCTCAAAATCAACTATATTTCAGAGTCGACGATAAATTGTCTTACTCTAAAGAACTCAAGTCGATGGTGACTCGAGGAAATGCTCCGAGAGTGAGTCGTCATTTCCTCGCAACATTGCTGTCTCGTTGCAATCTGCTTGGTAGGATTGGAGTGTTTCGTTGGTATGGTGATGACGGTGATGGTGATGATGTATGGTGTATGTATGTATGTATGTATGGTGTATGATGTATGGTGATGATGGTGATGGTGTTTTGGTTGAGGTGATTGGGATGGTGGTTGGAAATGAGGATGGTGATGATGATGGTGATGATGATGATGGTGATGGTGATGAGGGTGAGGGTGATGTAATGATGATGTGGTGATGATGGTGATGATGTAACTTATGATGGTGATGATGATGTAAATGATGATGGTGATGATGATGATGATGTAAATGATGATGGTGATGATGATGATGATGGTGATGATGATGATGATGATGTGATGATGATGATGGTGATGATGATGTACATGATGATGGTGATGATGATATAATGATGATGATTATGATGGTGATGAGGAGGAGAAGGAGGAAGTGGATGGTGGGGAGGAGGCGGAGGAAAAGGAATAAGAAGGAGAGGTGAAAAGGAAGAAGAGGAGAAGGAGGAGAGGAAGAAGAAAAGAGAAGATAAGGAGGAAGAGGAAAAATAAA